ACTGATTAAACTTTTCTGCTTTTGTATATTTTCCTATTGGTAAATATATTCCCTTATAATCCTTGATAAAAACAGATGTTGTTCAGGATTTTAAACTGGGAAAATCAGAGCGGTTTAGTCTTAAATGAGCATGAACTGATTATTTTTTCTTTGTGCAGCTTCCTCCTTGTCTCTATTTATAGTGGCAGTGGCTGCAAGAGTTGAGAATGAGTGACCCTTTTCAATTTCCACCCACTTCTCATTTCTAAATTCTCTTCCATTCTTGTCTTAATTTTGTAACACACATCCACTTTGCAATACAATGTGATACAGAGCTCCCTGAAGAGGCACTGAATGAGAGCAATGTAGATGCAACAGTTTAGTCTGGTCTAGTCAGCCATGCTAAGAGACAGGGTTAATTAGCTATGATGCTGGTATTGGTATGACAACACCATGCTGGTCACATCCAGTGCACTGGATCTGTTTCTATGAAAAAGAAAAAAAAAAAAGAAAAAGAATATATACATACACATAATCATATCTGAAAAAGAATATATATATTGTCATGCTGCCATTTGAGAATGAAAATAAAATGAAGCACTTGAAGAAGAGGCAGAGAAAGCCAGGTATGTTCAGCCTGGTGAAGAGAAAGCTAACCGGGGATCTAGTTTTTCGCTTCAACTATCTAACGAATAGCTATAGATAAGATGAAGCCAGAATTTTCTCAGAAATGCACATCTAAAGAAAAAGGAGAAATAGTCACAAGTTGCAGCACAGGAAATTCTCACAAGGGATAAAGAAAAATATTCAAGATGGTGATTCAGGACTGGAACAGGTGCCCAGAGAGGTGCTGGAATTTCCATCCTTAGATTCAAAACTGAGCTGGCTAAGGCCCTGTACAACCTGATTGAAATATGCAGTTAGTCCTCCTCAAAGGCTTTGGACCACAGGACCTCCAGAGGTAACTTCCAACCAAACATCCTGCATTTCTCTATGATTTTAAGATACTTGTAATGCTTCTGTATGAAAAACAATGTGAAAATAACCAATGTAACATTTCTCAACTTTTCATGCATAGTTTTACTTTCTTCCCTTTTAATCTTTTTATAAGGGTTATACAAGGGTTATTACAAGATGGGGTTGCCATAAGCCGAAGTTGTGATGAAGTTCCACTACTTAAATGTGGAAAAGTTGAGGGTAACATACTTACGCAAGATACAGATCTGTCAACAATTAGGTTAAGAGGCCCCCAGTTTGAAACCATGTTTCCTGGAGTACTGAAATCCAACTGATTATTATAGGTAGCTGATCCATGAAGTCTTGTTTCTATTTTAGATTAAATTATTTCCTTTCAGTCATGTATGTGTGTGTGTAAACACCTACATATATACTCATATACACTCAGTTAAGTTAGTAAAAATTTAAAACATATATACAGTACTGAAAAAATATTAGTATGAAAATGGCAACTAATATCTCTGCTGGTGGTCATGAAAGGTGAAAGCAAAAGGTATGTAATGGTGACTAATATCTCTACTGGTGGTCATGAAAGAAGGTGAAAGCAAAAGGTATGTGGATTTTCAATGGGACCAGAATGTTACAATCTCATAGGAAATTTAATTAATTATGAGAAGAAAAGGTGTGACTCTTGAAGTATTCAGAGTGGACCTACCTTGGTTTCCGTTTTTAACCATTCAATAAATACCTTTGCTCTTTCAGCTGTTAAGGTCAAGACTACTAAGAAGTTATAATGAACATTACAGTAAATGATACACGGAATCTAATACTGCTTTCTTTTGACTAATGAAGCAGCATTTTAAAATTTTATGAACTGTATTGGAAAGAAGAGCACTGAGTATGACAGATGGAAACAATCTACAGTGCAACTAATTCTGAATAATTAAGACTGTCCAACTTTGGAGAGAGATGAATAAAAGGTTCATGGTGAAACTTATACAAGTCTATCATACTTTGGTAAAGTGTCTGTCTTTCTAAAAATCTTGTGATTACACATTTCAAACATTCTGTGCTTATTCTAGAAGACTACCAATCAAGTGGCATTGTCCAGATTAGAAAGGAAACGATGTTTGGTCATAGGGAAAGGAAAAAGTGGAAATCATTGACCTAGACAAGGAATAATATATCTTACAATCTTAAAATATTGGTGCAAAGCAAAACCTATTTTCCATAAATATAAAAGCTAATTTATGGAAAGCTACAAAGGGAAAGCTAACACCTGTTGAACGTATCTGCCTATGCTACTAGGTAATATTTGAAAACCTTGGAAGTACACTGACTATACAGATGTGGAGTGAAAACCTGAGCTTACAGAAAACATTTCTTTTCCCTGTGACCTTAAAGTGGAACCAGATTTCACTCCAAAATTTTCATCTCACTATTTAATATTGCATTCTTTTGCACTTCTTTCCCCTTAAAAGCCTATATTAAAATGCATGTTTTTGTTTATCATTCTTTTTAACCTAAAAATGCTCATGATTACAAAGTTTGCTCTGGAATATGTGTTAAAAACCTGTTGGATTAAGGTTCTCCAAAAATTTGTTTGAATTTTTGAGCCAAACTTTAGTCTAATCCCTTTAGACTAAAGTTAGTCTGTCCGTTTAAAGTCTAATCTGAAAGACTTCAAAATAGCAAATTGTATGGAACTCAATCTGCTTATCTGAAAAGGATGAAAGGGTTTGTGCTCCATCTAGATTTGAACTTTCGGTTCCACAGTGTCTAGGTATTTCAAACCAGAGGTTTACACCATTAAGACATGCCACTCATGATAACTCAATCTTTCCTATGTTAATATCCATGATAGAAAGATAAATGAATGCCTTGATAAACAAGTAGAAAATATTTTTAAATACTAAATGACAACTATTATGAAAAGTGTCTATCAAAATTACTATTTCAGGCACAAGAGGTGATATTTATCTTTTTTTTTAATCATTCTGTACAAATCTCAGAAAAAAAGTAAGTCACTAACAGGAACATTAGTTCATTCCCTAATGGCACACAAGAAAACCCCTCTTTCATTTATTACCTTTGTCTCATCCCCCTTCCAAGGTAATCTGCTTAAGGCTACCTTAGCCAACCAAACTAAGTGAAATAAATCCAATGTACCCTATAACACAGGCAGCCCCAGTTAATATTGTTCAAATTATTTACATCTGAAGGGCCGCGCCTGTCTGGATAGCTGGGCCCAACGCTTCTCTGGACTTGGTTTCTGCTACTCACATCTGTTTCAGCTTTAGACTTTCACTGGTATTCTGCCAGCAGCCACAACTTTTTAATGGCTACAATAAACTACAGAGACTCATCAAATCTTTGTTGTACGTGTTAAAATTATAACCTCTTCAATTAAAATTTTGATTTAAAAATAAACTACAGCATTATCTGAAGAAAAAAATTTGAAAGGGAATGTTTGAAAGAGATACCACATTTTTATATGAGTGATTGTTTCTTTGTTTAAATATAAGAGAAACTAATCACAGGAATGCTTGTTAGAATTCTGCTGCACATTTCTGAGTGATAAAATACCGACATCTGAAAACATTTCCACAACCTTTTTTTTTTCCAAATCTTTGCTGTCATTAACTTTATATGTTAATTGGTTTGGCTGGGTTTCAAACAGTATCTTTACAAAGAAGAGTTATGAAAACAACCTCAACATAACAATTTTTCTAGATTTTCTATAAATACCTAAGAAAATTTGTTTTAGAAAATAGAAATCGGTAATTACAAGAAAGCTGCAGTTTTTATTTTAAGAGTTAGAGTGTTTAGCTTTTCCTACTTGCTGTCTGTGTCTTTGCAATGTAGAACAAATATGATGTGAATGTCACAGCCTCAATGCAGATCCTGTAAGACTAAGATGCATGACAGCAGGACTACATGCTGAAAAAGTGCAAGATCAAACACAGATCATGTTTCTGCACAAACTAGCCCAAAAGAGGGCAGGCCAAGGGGTTTACAGGGCCAAGCGATGAGAGGAGATAGAGCACTCACTTATGCCCGGGTCGAACAAACAACAACTGATACTTTCGTACCACTGTTAACCTTTGAAACTATCCTAAAGATGGCAGTGACCTAATCCAGCAATTTCTAACTGTAAGGATAAATTATTTTGTAATGGTTTTCATTGCCTTACATTGAAAAAAATTAAAAACAATCATCTTGTTCAACTCTGATTCTAAAAGGACTCTTCCATTTTGATGCAGAGATGTAAATGTAAATGGAGAAGTTTTTATAGGCTTTTATGCAGATTCTCTCCCTAAACTCCATTTTCTACACAAAACTGCTTCAGTAAAAGTAGCAACTTTTCCGTAACAAAAAAGACAGGCTTAAAATATTCAGTCATCATTTGCTGGATTTATTTTAGAAAGTCATATGAAGCACAAAATAAAAATGAAACTGCTTGGAACACTTAGAGAGCAACCCTTCCTACTTTATTTCCACTCAGTACTTTGATTGATAGATGAGTTGGGTTTCTGAGCCCCTCTTTATAATAAACATTTTTAAATGTTTATTTTATGTCCCAGGGTGAAAATATTTTGAACTGGAGCTTTCCATTTCCCTTTGCTGTGCCTTGGCAAGCTGTGTTTTATTTCTACATTAATAGTATTCAACTCTTTCTTGTAGCTGTTAAATTGTTGTTGTACAAGTACTGAAGAAAGTATTTATGTTATGGAACTAACAGATATCCACAGTTAAACACACAGTTCTGGAGAAGCCAGAGGAAAATTCACACATAAGTAAAGAAAATTTCAGAAAGATTTCTTTAGGGGCCTTTCGATCATAAAAGGGAAAATTACTTTTCAGTATCTTTACTTTCATTTTTATTAAGTCATGTGTTTGAATTTTTTTTTCTTTCTAATTTATGTGAGTAATTTGTGCCACAGTGTAAAAACTCTAAATGAATCAACACTATAAACCTAATTAGCAATAAGAAAACCTCATAAAGGTCACATTTTAAATGGCACTTTGTTGTTAGCAGAACAAATGTGAAAGTTCCCAGTTACCTTCTAGATCTCTCCTCAGTTTCCTTAAGTCTTTTATTAGGTCTTCAAACTTAACTTGGGAGGCCTGGAAAAAATCCTGTGGTTCTGGTAAAGGAAAAATACTCTTGTCTGTTCCTGCTTCCTAAACAAACAAACAAACAAACAAGCCACTATGAACACTGAATGCATTTGCAGTGAAATAAATTACTTTTTTTGAAATGTCATCTATGAAACACTATTATAAAACTGGAAAAATAATATACTTTAAATTATTCTTGCTAAAACAACATATATATTATTCAAGATGAAATCCTGACCATTCTGAGTGTTGAAACTTCCTTTTAGATGTTGTAAAGCAAACTGTGCTCCGTTTAAACTGTGAAACAGCACTAAGCTCACATTTCTGTTCATTTTATATCAATAAAGGTTTAGATAAGGGATTAGAAGTTTCTTAAAAACAGATAACATGAATGCCTATTTTAATGCAACAAGTGATCTTATGCCAAAGTTTGCGGTTTCATTCTCTCTTAAATATACACACACTTTATAAGCATGAATTGAAAACAATATTTATATATTGCTTGAAGTATTTTATACAGATAAAAATATACAGTTGAAGGTTTATGCGGCTAAATAAATCACATGGGTTAATGTCTGTATGTAACTCCTAAGTATATACCTTATTTTTAGCACAGTAAGAAAAAAAAATCAGAAGTAAAACAAAACAAAACAAAAAACCTTACAAGGTTCAAAGCAATATCTCCACTGGAAATTTAACAAGTAAAGTATATAAATGGTATTAATATGACATTGTTGTGTATAAGCATATAATAGTGAGTTTAAAATACTACCTGTGCACAAATTTCAGTCTGTAAGAAAGGAAAACTCATAGGTTGGAGAACTAATTGTTTTGTGAACAGGGAAAAAATAATTTTATTATTATAAAGATATGAACATTCAGGGGGAAAAAAGTACAATGGATGACATTTACACTATGTCCATTTCCTCCCAAGGAAGATAAACTGGTTTGTTTTACAAAATTCCCTGAAGTAAAATTGCAGTATAGTAGAAATTTTGCAGAAATATTAAATATTTAAAGAAATTAATTAGAAAGCATTAGTTTCAGCATTATTAAAAAAGGAGAAAAGAATACATATGTCAACACCCTGAGAACTGAGAAACATTACAGGCTAGACAAAGTTGCTTTTGTTATGAGGCTTTTTACAAGACGGGTACTTAGGTTAAAGTAATGCTCAAAAAAAAAAAAAAAAAAAGAAAAAGAAAGAAAGAAAACAAGTACACATCTACATATCTGCTAGTTTTTTTATCTTCTCTACAGCTCAGCCCCAGGAGCTGTTCCACAGGCTCCTGACATACAGACCCTCCGGCATTAGAGATCATAGAATCATAGAATGGTTTGGGTTGGAAGGGGACCTTTAATGAATCATCTAGTCCAACCCCCCTGCCATAGGCAGTGAAATGTCTTCACTTATTTTAGTCTTCACTTACTTTAGTCTTACTCCTGGAAAAAATACTCATGACTACTAACTCATCAATTCAATATTCTTATGTAAGAATTTTAAAAAAAAAAAAAGAAAAAAAAAAGAAAAAGAAGAGAAAAAATTATTTGTATTTGACCAGACATAAGGTTGTGAAAAATTACACTGGTCTTAGACTCAAAGATTAGGTAAAGGCATCTTCTTAATCTTAAAAATAAGCAATTACATACTTAAAATCAATTGATAGTGACATTTTCATTTAAAAGACGATAGTTCAATTTTTCCACTCAAAAACTTTGGGCACTGCTGATATCTATCAAAAAGCCTCATAAATGTAACTCACTCAAAGCAGCAGCCACACTTCTTCCCACATTTTCAACCTCTAACTTCATCCCCATCAGCTGACTCACCTATCTTAAAATACGAACCTGTCCTTGCATTCTGTCATGAGAGAGAAATCATGCTTCTGTCTTCCATTATTACCACATCAGAACAAGATTTACAACATTACAGTAGCCAGGATGTAACAGTCTGCAACAGCCACAGGCAATTGCCTGTAGTGGTTAGTTCAACAGTTAATGTGAAATTTTCCAAAGCCTTATCATAAAACCTATAGCAAATTTCAGACCTATTGAGGTCCTGGAATCATAGAATAGTTTGGTTTGGACCACAACTATTATAAGAAAGCAAAAGAAATGGATTTCATTTTTCCATCAGAGCTACTGTGTTCGGATTTTTAAAAAGCTAATACAAACCCTTTTACAATCTCTTGAAACCTACTTTTGGAGAGGCTGATACAGCAAATGAATCTTTTACCTTATCACAATGGCGTAGGTAATATATGACGACATAATCCACAAGATTAATACCATTATCCTAGGGAAAAACAGATATATTGTTAAAAATGTGTGTGATTAACACTATTTCAAGTGAGTGAAAATTTACTCTATTTCAAAATAAATATACTATTATTTTATATTGCTGTGAGAAATAGGACTCACAATATCTTCAGCCCTAGCATTACTGACCAAAAAATCGATCTTTTATAACATAGGCTTGATCGTACCACCACAGGACCTAGAGCTTCTTTTGGTTCTATGTACCAGGTAAGAAAACATGCACTGGAAGAAGCTGTCCCCATATCTTTTTTTAATAATACAAGGCATTAATATTAATTAATAATATTATTCTTGAATATAATATTAACTAAATATTACAGTCACCTCAAATATATTAAGGTGAACTGAATTTCTTGATTCCTCCTGTCTCAACTAATCTATAATGAAGATCTGAAAGAGGCATAGATATTTTTCATATTTCACTCCAAATGTAAAACCAGACAACATGTACCTAACAAGTTCATGCCCTGTTGCCTTATAAATATGAATTTTAATACTCACGTTGTGGAATCACCATTTCCATGGTCCTGCATACAACAACTGTACATAAGATCATTTTATTTTGTTATGTGTCATTGGGTCAGCATAGGCCAGATGAACTAACGGAAAAGTGTAAAACTGCAACTTATACATTACAAGGTACCGTTCAACAATGTAAAAGAATCATAATATAGGAAATTATATCTGGAATGGCTTTGAAGTTTTTTTGGATGTGTTTTCATATTGTATATTGACAGGTATCAGGACAAACATTTGTATGTGAACAATGTCTGACTTCCTGTACAGAGCTGCCTCGCCTATATTAGAGCCTGCAGCACATTATATTTTATTAATTTCATACACCAGCAGAATTCTTAACTAAGCAAGTCACTGCTGTCATTCAGACAAAGCCACTCTGCTTGTATAACGGTTTTAGAAGACATTGCTGGCAGGTCATGTGACAAAAAGGAACCGAGGTGACTCATGAACATTTGATTGCCCTTTTAGAGTCAAATAAACCTGTTATTCTATTTTCTATATGCTAAACTATCAAACCTATTTCTTTGGTTTAAAGAGTATTTGCAGAAGACAAAAAACAGAGGTTTTGAGGGTTTTTTTCTTTTAAATCTCTATATATATCTTTTTAAAAAAAATCTCTATAACAAGTAACTTTCTAGGCTCATGTGACAACAAATGACTTTTATGTGAAATAAGAGATATTTAATATTGACTCTTTACCTTAGCTCCTGGAATTCAGCTTACCTAGATGTAATATTGCTTGCTGGCAATTCCCAGAAAGGGAATAACGGGACATAGGAAGGATACCTTAGTGTTCAAATATACAAGACCCTGCATTCTTCTTCCTTGCAAATATGGTCTACCAGTTATCTCTGAGGTTTCATGTCTGCCTGTAGCAGCTGGCCCCTTTGAGTTTTTATGCATTTTGGAGACTGGTCTAAACTAATAATATATTTATTTTGGCTACCAGGAAACTGTAAATACTGTAATTTTTTAGCTTGTTTTGCTAAGGAACAAGTCTTATGCAATTATACTGTATATCTGTCACTCTTTTTCATAATTCATAATTTTGGAACGTGCTGGCTAAATTCAGCCAAATTGGAAAGTCCCAGAGATAATTAAATTCTCATAAGTTTATGGTTAGACAGAAGAGCGAGACTAAAATCAGTACTTCTACTGAGAAAAGTCAGGTGAAGCTCAGTTGTTTTACATTTTTCTTCGTGGCAGCTGGCCAACCAATGAACACCCGAGTACTGGGAAACTTGGTCTGGTTCTAGTTTAGCTTCAGCTTGTACTGTGTCTTGTCCATGGAGTAGGACTGGAAGAAAAGCGGTCATAGGGAACAGCTGAACCATTGCAGTGAAGAGGAAAGTAAGAATTAGAATCATAGAATCATTTCGGTTGGAAAAGACCTTTAAGATCAAAAAATCCAACGGTTAACCTAACACTGCCAAGTCCACCACTAAACCATGACCCTAAGCGCCTCATCTACACGTCTTTTAAATACCTCCAGGGATGGTGACTCAACCACTTCCCTGGGCAGCCTGTTCCAGTGCTTGACAACCCTTTCGGTGAAGAAATTTTTCCTAATATCTAAACCTCCCCTGGCGCAACTTGAGGCCATTTCCTCTCATCCTATCACTTGTTACTTGGGAAAAGAGACCAGCACCCACCTCGCTACAACCTCCTTTCAGGTAGTTGTAGAGAGCGATAAGGTCTCCTCTGAGCCTTCTTTTCTCCAGGCTAAACAACCCCTGTTCCCTCAGCCGCTTCTCATACGACTTGTGCTCTAGACCCTTCACCAGCTTTGTTGCTCTTCTTTGGACACACTCTAGCACCTCAATGTCTTTAGGAGACAAAGGACTCAAATCCATTGGAAAAACTTCCATTAATACAATTGCTCACTGAACAATTCATTGAATGTGTTTTTACACTTTGTTAATGATGGTATTCACAAGTAAAATAAAAAGCTCCCTAGACATACTGCTTTCCTGACATTGCCTGGCTCACAAACGCACTCCTACATATATGAAGCATAACTGGTAACAAAAGCTTAAAATCTACCTTTCTTATAGTTCAAGACAGCACTTCATGCAGGAAAAGAGGAAGAACATGAAAGAACAGGTTTTTTTTCTCACCCTCCAAATCTGTACCAGCATCAGCAGAAAATACCTCCTATTCTTTACTGCTTCATATATCCATGTGGTGTCTAAGTATGCTTTGGCAAAGAATGACTTTGAGTAGTGTTTCCAGTGCCTACATTACCTAGCACCTCCTCCTCTGCCCTACTGAAATAAGGAACAAAGTAACCTCACCTCAAAAGGTGTCCAGAGTTTGTTTGAGGCTGACTTTGATCCTAGCATGACTAATCAAAAACGTGCTAGTGGTTCTCAATTTTTGACAAAATAATTTACTGCCATCTATGAGCATTTTCTTGTGCATGCCATTCAGAATTCATGCCCTACATCCATTTAACCGCCAATTCAAAAAGAAGACTGAAAATATCTTGTTGGGTCTGACACACCTCTTTGAAGAGGATTAAAATCCTGTATACTACATATTTATAACCTTTACGTATAATTTCTTAGTGTATATGCTACACTGAACCTTTACTGATATTTTGGTTTTAAACCTGATTTTTAAAACATTTTTACTCACATAGAGCTACTTTAAGTTAAGGGCAAGAAAAAAGAATGGGGACATTTACTGGAGAAGACTTCAGCCATTTGTGCTCTCTCACATCTCTAACCTACTGTAATTAAGTCCCTACTAGTAAAAGAGACACACAGAAGTTCTCACATAAGATAATTATCCTAGTTGTACTGAATAGGAGAAATTGGAGATTATGGAAATATGCATATGTCCAGCAGAAGAAGGCAAAAAGTTGGGAGAAAGAAGCAAGAAAATGGTACAAAGTGCCTTGCTTTTTCAAGCAAGAATGGTAAGAAATAAGAAAAGATTAACTTTTGACAGATGATGGAACCAAAAAGATCACTTGAGAAAAATTATCTTTAATTAAAAATTAGTACTTACTCTGCTTTTGACATCCTTTAGTTTGGGGAGTATTTCCAAACCAAATCCATCGGCTTGACCTCGGGTCCTATTCCCGCCATTCATATAATTTCCAAAAGCCAGAATCAACCCTAAAATTTCCTTTACACTCGTCAAGTTCAGCAAAGCCTGGAAAATGGATACTAGTCTGTAACTTCCATTGGCACAAAAATTCTAATTGCTAATATAAAAAAGATTTTTTTATTTTGTTTT